ATTAGGGTAAAGCAGTGGGTTGTCATATGTTGCCAGTATTAATATTAGGGTAAAGCAGTGGGTTGTCATCTGTTGCAAATATTAATACCCAAAAGATTATTTCATAAGATCTTAACTTACTTTACAGTTAAACAGTGGTAAACTCTCTTATACAGCTAACAAGTCAAGTGTAATCTAGTAGTAAGCGTTTCGAGCTGCTGGTCGAAGGGTCGGGTGTTCGATGCGTGCTTTTAGCAGTGGGCGTATTATAAAAGTAACAATTAGTTTTATTGTTCGGTTCGTTAACTTTGGCGATGGGCACTGCTAGCTGCCTGTCCTCTTATTAGAACTTTAAAATTAGGAATAGTTATGTCTGAGGTATCATTCAAACACTAATGTGAAAGTTGTTATATTTTCAATCCTCAATGGTTTTAGTGCCACGTTTTCGAAGTGTTTTTTTTATCAGATTTTTGGTTTTTATAGCAACGAATACACAAACCGTATACAAGATTACAACGGTGTATAAATATATCGATGTATATTATGTGTTACTTATCAATGAACTAACGTGGTCTTTCAGAACATCTTAGACAGATTCAACCCTTGTGCCAGACAGCTGATTACAGCAGGGAAGTCCTACCTGAAAGCTTTACACGGTTAGTTTTGGTGTTCTGGGATACATTAAATGTACACAAAGAAATAGGATTTTATATTATTTTATGTGCTGTAATATATAACAACAAATGTAAGTATAACAATATTACATGTATTTGCATTTTATAGTATGAATAACGTAGCTTTGTTTGAGTCTAAAGATTGGATTGTTAGATCTTTGTCTTTTTTTTTTTCACAATGTGAAAAAATTTTGAGCCTAAAGTTTTTCGACAGTGAAAAGTGGATTTTTAGATCTTTGCCTTTTTTTACAGTGTGAATAGCATAGCATTAGTTAAGTTTAAAGTTTTATACTATGAAAAGTGGATTGTTAGATCATTGCCTTTTTTTACAGTGTGAATATCATAGCATTAGTTGAGCCTAAAGTTTTCGACTACGAAATATGGATTGTTAGATCTTTGCCTTTTTTTACAGTGTGAATAACATAACATTAGTTGAGTTTAAAGTTTTTCGGGTGTGAAAGTGGATTGCTAGATCATTGCCTTTCTTTTTACAGTATGAATAACATAGCATTAGTTGAGTCTAAAGTTTTTCGACTACGAAAAAGGGATTGTTAGATCTTTGCCTTTTTTTCCATAGTTTTGTTTGAGTTTATGGGTTTTCAGGTATGAAGAGTAGCTGGTTAGATTTTTATCTTTTTACGGTCTGAATAACCTAGCTTCAAGATTCTGTAAGATAAACACGCAGGCTGACAAAACCGATAGAATTTTAGCAACTGTCGAATTAAAAATGTACTTTTAGCTCATGTTTTTTTAAAGAGAATAAAAAGCCTATTAAAATAGGTGTTTTTTACGCTTAGCATTTCGGTCTTCGCAAACTATGGCGTTTCGCTACGTCCCTAGCAAAACGGCTTCATTTAGTCGAAGATCTGTAATGTTTTAAATTTTTTAATTTCCTAGAGACAGTCACTAGGACTGAAAGTTGTATATTGCAGTTGTTTTTATACTTCCGACTATGTTATGCACCTTGGATTTCAACTTTTTCAGAACTTCCTATTTTTCTGAAGTCGATAAGTATGCGTAGGTTTCTCTTTGCTAACTGCAGTTTCAGCATGGATTACTAACGGTTTCAGCATGGATTACTAACGACGATTTCGAGCAGATGAAATTCTACACTCGCGGTAGAACAATTGATGAGGCTGGCTTAGTTAGTAGGAACCAGATGGCGTGGCTCAAGAGCAGAATGACGAACGATGTCTTACCACTGCGATCAAGGAAACACAAACTGTAGCAACTTTTTTATCTTGCAATAAATATCTGAGGAGTAATCTCCAAAAATAACAATAAGAAGGCAGGCTTTAGGATGTGGCAGAGGGTAAAATAAATGGCGTGCTAGATACCAAATGATGGATCCTTTCCTGTCAGACAGTACATTTAAAAGATCATCTTAAACTTTAAGACGTAAGATAAGAACATTATTGCAGACAAAGAAGAAAATACTTACTGACACCCTACGTAGAAGTTACAAAAAAAAGACAATAAAAAGCTATTAAAACATGAAGTGTGCTACTAAATCTATAACACCAGATATGCTACTAAATCTATAACACCAGGTATGCTACTAAATGTATAACACCAAGTATGTTACTAAATGTATAACACCAAGTATGCTACTAAATCTATAACACCAGGTATGCTACTAAATGTATAACACCAAGTATGCTACTAAATGTATAACACCAGATATGCTACTAAATCTATAACACCAAGTATGCTATTAAATGTATAACACCAGGTATACTACTAAATCTATAACACCAAGTATGCTACTAAATCTATAAAACCAAGTATGCTACTAAATGTATAACACCAGGTATACTACTAAATCTATAACACCAAGTATGCTACTAAATCTATAAAACCAAGTATGCTACTAAATCTATAACACCAGGTATGCTACTAAATCTATAACACCAATATGCTACTAAATCTATAACACCAAGTATGCTACTAAATATATAACACGCTACTAAATCTATAACACCAGGTATTCTACTAAATCTATAACACGCTACTAAATCTATAACACCAAGTATGCCACTAAATCTATAACACCAGGTATGCTACTAAATCTATAACACCAAGTATGCTACTAAATCTATAACACGCTACTAAATCTATAACACCAAGTATGCTACTAAATCTATAACACGCTACTAAATCTATAACACCAGGTATGCTACTAAATCTATAACACGCTACTAAATCTATAACACCAGGTATGCTACTAAATCTATAACACAAGTAAACTTAAACACAATACAACACATTAATGATCTGACAACATTGATATGTAAACTTAAACACCATGTAACACATTAATGATCCGACAACACTGATATGTAAACTTAAACATCATGTAACACATTAATGATCCAACAACACTGATATGTAAATTAAACACCATATAACATATTAATGATCCGACAACACTGACATGTCAACTTAAACACCATATAGAAATCTTTAGATACTTTCACCTATCACCAACGTATCTGGACTTATCTCGAAAGCGTGTTTCTCAAATAGACTTAGTGTTTTGCTGTTCAATATCAACAAATATGTTTCATGTTACAGTTCTTTCTATTACTGTTGATATACCAGTCGTGTAGGGAGTTTCGTGTTACCTTCGAACAACTCATTCTAGATTTACTGAAGTGGTTGGTGTGAAATATATGCTGAATAGTTTTGTAGTTACATGTTAGGAGTTATTTGTTTTATTTTGCTTAACTAACTATATGCTGAATAGTTTTATAGTTACATGTTAGGAGATATTTATTTTATTTTGCTTAACTAACTATATGCTGAATAGTTTTGTCGTAACATGTTAGGAGTTATGTATTTTATTTTGTTAAGTAAATATATACTGATTAGTTTTGTAGTAACATTTTAGTAGTTGTTTTTAACTAAGTATATGCTGAATATTTTTGGGTTTATATTGTTGCGTCAGCGAGGTCACGTGACTAGTGTCACGCCACCTATTTTCTAGAAATATCCTGTTCCTTCGTGAAT